CCAATTTTGATTGGTCCGTCATTATTCAGCAATTCCCGCCAATATTTGCATATCAGTTCTTTGTTCCCACATAGTTGGAACAAAAAATATAATAAGAAAAAAGATTAACTTATTAAATAATCATAATTAATATATAGAAAATAAATAAAACTTTAAAAAGACACAGAGTTGTCACATATTTTATTAATTTTCATATAGTGAAACTGCAAAATATGTTACTTAACCTCACACAAATATGCATTTTTCGTTGGCGACCAATTTTTTCCAACATTTGTCGCCCATAATGCTCGACGTTGAATATTACGCCGAAATATTTTCATTATATAGCCTTTGCTGCAGAATTATTGCAAAATGGGGCTGCACACCCAACCACACGAGAACTATAGGCCTGTTCTTTTTGCCTGCACTGTCTGAACTGGTACATACAGTGCAATAAGTTGAAATGAAACAAACGTATATCTGTTTCTCTTCAACTTATTGCACTCTGTGCACCAGTTCAGTAAAAAGAACAGGCCTTATGACGGGTAGAAAGAGACACAACATATTCCTCTCTCTTTCTTGTGATTTTGCTGAAACTAGAGACTCTTAATACAAAGAGACCGTAAAGAGAGTCTCTAGAATGTCTGTTTCTCGTGTCGCGACTCTGATTAGAGGGTCTCTAGTATGTATTAGAGACCCTCTAATCAGAGTCGCGAAATAACGTCAATAAGGTTAGGTCGGTGATACCATTTTTCAGCAAAAACCGGAAGTAGCGATTATAGTACATTGTGTAACAGTGGGAGAAAGTTGTTTATTGTGGGGACGGGCGCGACGGCACGAGCGAAGCGAGTGCGTACGCGCGCACGTGTCGACCTATAAACAAATATGCCCCCACTTATATCCTGGAATTTTAACTACTGTCGTTACTAGTTATACTATGACATGTCGGAAAACGAGTTTGGAGAATTGAAAGAGACAAATAGCATAATACGAGAAAGAAAGCAATATCTGTTATCTCCTTCTATCCGCCATCTTTGGTCCGCTTTGGCCAAACTCTTATTATAGGATCTCTAGGGAGTTAGAAGCATTACAAGAAAAAGGCCTCCATAGCCGCTCTCAGGTTTCTCTCTGGTACGATGTACAATCCAAAGAGTGAGATAGTACGTAAAAGTACGATAATTTGGCAGTTTTGATTTTTTAAGAAAAACACTCTTCGATAAAACGGCAAAAATTACGTGATATCTTTCGCAATATATTAGAATAAAATATTTTAATGAATTTGTATGCTCGTAAACCCCTCTTTATTATTAGTTTAAAAAAATTTTTCGAGCCTTTATTATTACTAATATATTTCCTATATAGTTCCTGTTACATATAACCAAAGTTTAGTAAATATTTATGTACTTAAAATTTAAAAAAATGTTCCCTAGTGTGTATAATTTATATAATTTATGTATAACGAGGGAGACTTATAAATGTAATACTTAAAAAAATTTTCTAGTGAGATTATAATTATAAGTTATGTACATTGAAAACTGTAATTTTAAAAATAAATACTTATAAATATTCAATATTGTTATTTTTTCCATTAAAAAATTAGATTTGTTTGCGTTGCTTAAAACCCAAAAATTTTTATACTTAAAAAGAGGTTGATATATATTTGGACGTTAAAAAAAGAGAAAGCGAAGAGGCTGAATGCAAAAAAGTGCGAGCAACGCGAACAGAACTAATATAAATATGTATATCTAACAAAAAAAAAAATTGTACGATAATTTTAATCAAAATACGATAATTTTGTACTGTTGGTACGATTTTTAATAACGCGGAGGTTGGCAATGCTGGTGAAGCATACCTTAATGATATTGTAGAAAAATGGCGTTTCCCTGTAAAGATCCTTGCTTCTCGCCTCTGTGGCAAAATGGACCGTTTCCTGGTGCATTTTATCACTTTCCAGGAACCCAGAACGGCACCGGTGGATTCCAAAAATCACAGTACGTTTTGATTACAATTAACAAACATTTTTCATCCGTTTGCATACAGTTTTTTGTATATAACCTATACATCTCTGTATAAATCTCGCATGTCATCCTCTTTCTTCTGAAATAAATTGAGGAAGTAGTATTGAAAATACTTGACACTTTATTAGATAAATATCCGAAATGACATGGGACTTGAGTTCTCTAAAGCCAGCAGCACACAATGCTTATTTTCCTGCTGGATCGCTGGCTGGATTAAAATCTTGCCACTGTATTGGCTGTGGCAAGCACCGTGCTAACAGTGCCAGTATCACAGCCAATTTGATGGCAAGAATTTGATCCAACTAGCAATCCAGGAGGAAAACAAGCATCGTGTGCCATTGGTTTAACTCTCATTTTATAATTTACAGATCTCCTATAACAACTGGTACATCTGTCATCGGTATACAATTCAAAGATGGAGTTGTTATATCAGCAGATATCTTAGGATCTTACGGATCTCTTGCTCGTTACAGAAATCTAGAGCGTCTTATGAAAGTTAATGATAACATAATTCTTGGTGCATCCGGAGATTATGCAGATTTTCAGTGTATCAAGAGTTATGTGGAAAGAAAGATGTATGTCTTCATAATCAGTATAGTTTTTTTTACACATTTTTATATTTAAGATATTCTGTTCTTGGTTTACTATAAAAAGTAAATGACTTAAGCCGATATTCATAATCCATTCTTATGTTAAGATTGTTTTAATAAATGTATTAAATAAATGCTAATAGCCTATGATTAGCAGCTTATAATATCTTAAAACAGTCTTAAATATAATCGATTGTGAATTCTAACCTAGTTGGATCTAATTAATTTCCAGCAGTTCCTATATCAGCTTTATTTAAAATTAAACGTTTTACAGAATGATTCATGAATGTATGTTAATATTTCAGGGATGAATCT